TGATTATATGCCCCCCCCTTAATCTCCTCTTCTCAAGAAAGAATAAATTTAGTTCCTCTAATCTTTCCTCATAGCTGAGCTCCTCCATGCCTCGTATCAGTTTAGTTGCCCTTCTCTGACTTTCTCAAGTTCTCCAATGTTCTTTTTGTGAATTGGTGCCCAAAACTGAACTGCATATTCCAGATGAGATCTTACTAATGATTTTTACCGGGTAATATGATATATCTCTCTCTCTGGAGTCTATACCTCTTATAATACAAGAGAGGATTTTGCTTGCTTTAGAGGCATTGCATGCCATTATTAAGCTTGTGATCTACCAGAACTCCCAGATCCTTCTCCACCATTGATTCCCCCAGTTGTACCCCCCTAATATGTATGATGCGTGCATATTCTTAACTCCCAAGTGCAGAACCTTACATTTATCAACATTAAACCTCATTTGCCACACAGTTGCCCAAATAAACAGTGCATTGAGGTCGGCTTGTAAGTTGGAGACATCCTGTAAGGACGTTATTCCACTGCACAGACAAAACGTATGAAAAGACTAAGCAAAAATGACCAGGGTAGGGAATAGGTAGCACTTGTAAATAAAGCAAGACCCTTGGCAGGATATTAATTTATTTAATGTTAGAGCAGCCCATCCAGGTAAAGAAGGTCCAATCCCAGTTGGCAAGGTCAGTTTGCACAGCAGCCAGCAAGGGGGTGTAATAAATGAAGTTGTGAGCAATGACTAGTATGGTGAATACTCAGGTACTTTAAAGAGCTCTGAAACCAGGTGAAAGAAAAGGAATTTTGCAACTGTATATGCATAGCTGAGGGTATAAGAATCGGTAGTATTTTGGGTTTGCAAAAATGAATTTGAAATTGGGAAAGGTTGTTAAATGCTTGTAATTCGGCCATTATATTTGGCAAGAGGTCAGGGAGTCAGTCACATAAAACAGAACATGATCCATGTAGGTGGAGAATTTGTTATGCTGTGCCTATATGAACTCCCTTTATATTGAGATTCAAACATATTCTATTTAAAGAAGGCTTCAGGGTAAGAGCGAAGATGAGTGGGGACAGGGAACAGCCTTTTTTTCATCACATTCCTAATTGGAAATGGGTGGGAGAGGGCTCAGCTAACCTTGACTCAGGCTTCCGGGGAATTGTAAAGTGCCACGATGCACTGGAGCAGGTGAGATCCCAAATCCAGACTACTGAGGACCACCCGCAGGTACAGCCAGTCCACCCAGTCAGATGCCTTTTCAGTGGAGAGCAACAGACAGGGTGGCTGGCTGTACTGTGGATGTGCCTAGTAAAAATTCTGGCTAACCCTGTTGGAGTTATCAGTGGCCTCTTTGTCTGGTATGACCCTGTTTGATCCAAGTGGATTACCACAAGGATAATGTGTTTCAAGCAGTTTGCCAGTATTTTGGCCAGAATCTTTATACCTGTATTGAGGAGGGAGATAGGTCTATAATTTTGTGGTAAGGTATGACCCTTGCCTCCTTAGGCAATACTGTAATATGGGCCATCAGGGCCTCTCTGGGTATATGAGCACCTGTTGCCAGGGCATTGAAATATTTACACATGGGGGAGGTGAGCAATGATAGGAATTTTCTATAGTAGGTGTTAGTGAAGTTGTCAGGACCGGGCTTTTCCCCTTAGCTCAGTGGTTCTCAACCTTCCTAATGCCGTGACCCTTTAATACAGTTCCTCATGTTGTGGTGACCCCCAACCATAAAATTATTTACCCAGTAATTATAATTCATGAGTGTCGTTTTACCTCCAATACTGCTGCTTTCAACACAGTAGCTGCTTTTAACAGAGTAGCTGCTTTCAACACAGCAGCTGCTTTCTACACAGTAGCTGCTCTTTACATATCGGAAATATGTGTTTTCTGATGGTCTTAGGGGACCCCTGTGAAAGGGTCGTTCGACCCCCAAAGGGGTCGCAACCCACAGGTTGAGAACCACTGCCTTAGCTAATTATTTAATGACAGTGTTGAGTTCCATGTCTTGAAATTCTTACCGGCCCCTGGAACCCTGAAATCAAGATGCTTAAGACATAACTGTTACTTGCTTTTACTGTATTTGTCAATCTGGTGCTCATCTTCTGTAAAATATAACGCAACAGGTCATTTTCTTCACATCCCATTTACCTTCTCTTATTGCTGTTTGAGCTTTTGTATTTCAATGATTTTTATTAACTTTTTTTAAGCACTTTAACAAGGAAAAACCAGAGCAAAAGACATGCCCACGCAGGGGCTATCAGTGGCACATAAAAAACAGAGAAGAGAACAATGTAAAAGGCGTGCCCACATGGGGACATTAAAGGCACATAAAATACGAAAACAGTGATATAACACCAACAATATACCAGCCAAAGCTGTTTGAACTTTTGAGAGGCTTACTGAAAAAGAGCAAGCTATATATCATAGTATTAAGAATCTGAACAAGACCATTAAAGGTTGTTGTGTCCTCTATTAGGATCGTGTGGCAGTGCCCTGTGGCGGCTCTGATATTGCTGTATACTAAACAAAATAACAAAACGAATATGGTGGAAATAAATGTGCGTTTTATTTAATTTATACGAGCAGAGAGATTACATGATGGAGTATAAATGAGGCCTAGCTCCTCTCCCTGCTGGGAAATAGCCTTCAGGTTAACAGAGAGGTCTCATTACTTTCCATTCATAAGACCATTATCAATATTAGGCAGCTAATTAACCTCCCATTGACTCCACTTGATTCATATGCTGTCATTTCAAAGACAGAGGGCTAATGTGACCTATCATGGACTCTTACTGCCTGTTTCACATGAGCAGAGATTCCTCCCATGGGTTCCAAACCCACCAAAGCTCACGCAGCAGAGAGGTTTAAAGGAACAGCACTGACACTTGCTTAATGCTGAACTCTGGGTACAAAAACTTTCAATGAAACAGTTTATTCAATACCAACAAAGGATAAAAATCTAATATGTGTGCACCAAATGTATTTGCAAGCCCCGTGTTTACCTTGTAAAAGTAGCAGTGACATCATTAGTGTGCTGCACTGCACAGAGCTGTAGGAGGGATACAGCAGGCTCCACCCTCTACAGGCTACCTGCAGAAAACTACAGGAGGAGGCGGAGACCAGACCAGTCACTCTGCACAAGGAGAAAGCAGCAGTGACCGGTCTTTATTACAGGAAGCTTCTGCACAGATAACGTTTCATGCTGGGTTACCACACAGATCTGGAAGAATAACAAAAACAGCACTATGATTTAAATAAGAATAAACATTATTTTGTACTTGGCCAATATTTGCCTATCCCAGCAGTTGAGCTTTAACATCCCTAACGGTATTCCCGAGTGTAACTCGGGGTAAATTGTCTGTACCAAAAGCGGTAACCCCGAGCTACACTCGGGCTTACCATGCGGCGCTGCATAGGGAGTCCCTGCAGAGCTTACCTTGTCCTTCGCTCCCACGATGTGTCCCCTGTAGCGTCCCCGGCCATCTCCTCCGGCAGATGCCGGCATCCGGCTCCTGTGTTCCGGTCCCTGTGACGTCGGGGCGAGCGGCGGCGGGAAATTTGAAAATTTAAAAAAAATTTCATTTTTTTCAAAACGATTTTACATAGTAAAACATTGCTGTTTCACCCCATTTCACATACATTTTGTCCCGAGTGCTCTGTCCTGTCCCCTGTCTGCATTTTGAATGTTCTTTCTGCCTGGAAACTTAGAAAAGTCTATGGCGTCCAAAAAGTGTCTCTTTAGGTCAAAAGCGGGTTTAGATCAGCTAGAGAACAACGATAGTAAATCAGAACCACTTGCAGAATTGAGTGATAATGATTTGTGGGGAAATTCGTCATCAGACACTGAAAACGATTTTGCGACTTTGCTCAGCAATGTGCAAACTTGGCGCTATATTTCAAATTTCAGTGTTTTTGGTTTGATTATATTATTGAATTAAATGTAATCTTATTATATTATTATTTTTTATGATTATTTATTCAATTATAATTTATGATTTTGTGTTTCAAATTTTATCATACCCGGGATGTTTAATAGACTCTTGTTCGGACAGATTTCAGTGAGTTATTCCTAAATATTACAGCCTACAATAAAAAAACTACATATTTCCATGCAGAATAATGGTACCGCTTTCAGCACCAAAAATCTGAAATAATCATACCGCTAGGGAGGTTAATGGAAAGTAGGATCATTCAGGACAATTTTTTTAACATTGTGCATGTTCATTAACTAATATTTTATCGAATTTTATAATATATTTATGTACAGAACATTTTAAAGTGGAATTCCTGGCTATACTAGCTAATCTTAAAATGACTTCCTTCCCCCCTCCTCTTACACCTATGCTGACTAACCTGTGTATGAAATTTATATACTTACCTATTTTCAGACCACATAGGTCCAGTCATGTGATCCAGCTCTCCTGTGTGAGTCAGAGGTGGCTGCAGGGGAGAGGAGGGAGCTCCGACAATGGATGAGCCATAGGAGCCTAAGGATGATATCACGGCTCCCAGGCATTCCAGCATTTTGTTGAGTGTTCTCGCCTCTCCCTTGAAGCCGCTACTGGCTGACACAGGGAAGATCACATGACCTATTCAAGCCTGAAAATGGGTAAGTATATACAAGTTAGGGCGTGGCTAGCCGGTGACATCATCACGCACGCTGACTCACGTGTCCGGACCACGTGATTGCAACATCGCCATCTTGGTTGCAGGCAGGCTGGTGAGACGCTGGAGAGATGAGCATGTGGCTCTGATTGTTTAACCACTAGCCAACAGGGCACTTATACCCCCTTCCTGTCCAGGCCAATTTCCAGCTTTCAGCGCTGTCACAATGAAAATTGTGCGGTCATACAACATTGTACCCATATGAAATTTTTATCATTTTTTTGTGACAGATAGAGCTTTCTTTTGGTTGTATTTAATCACTTCTGGGTTTTTTATTTTTTCTTAAACAAACCAAAAAGCACTGACAATTTTGAAAAAAAAAGTTTTTTCTTAGTTTTTGTTATAAAATTTTGTAAATAAGTGATTTTTCTCCTTCACTGATGTGCGCTAATGAGGCTGAAGTGATGGGTACTGATAGGTTGCACTGATAGACACTGATAGGTGGCAGTGATGGGCACTGATGAGGAGGCACTGGTAGGTGGCACTGATGGGCATTGACAGGCATCACTGACGGGCACTGAAAGGCAGCACTGATACATGGCACTGATACATGGCACTGATATATGGCACTGATAGGCAGCACTGATAGGTGGCACTGATAGGCGGCACTGACTGGCACTGTTAGGCGGCACTGATGCACACTGATAGGTGGCACTGACTGGCACTGATAGGCGGCACTGATGCGCACTGATAGGTGGCACTGATTGGCAGCACTAGTAGGTGGCACTGATTGGCATTGATAGGTGGCACTGACTGGCACTGATGGGTGACACTGAAAGGCAGCTCAGATGGGCACTGATATGTGGCATTGATGTGCACTGGTGTGCACTGATATATGGCACTGATGGGCACTGGCACGAGGCACTGATGAGCACTGACACAAGGCACTGACAGGTGCCACTGCTGGGGCCACACTGATCATCAGGGCACACTGATCATCAGTGCCCTGATGATCAGTGTACATGTCCCCTCCGCGAAGCCGATTACTGGCTCTCCTCTCCCCTCGAGCTGTCAGCGTGACAGCTCGAGAGGAGAGAAATTCCGATAACCGGCATTTCTCTGTTTACATGTGATCAGCTGTGATTGGACACAGCTGATCACATGACCGAGCCGACATCTTCAGCTCTTTCCGTGATCGGTGATCCGCTGTGTCCGAGGGACACAGCGAACCGCCGATCGCCGCGCTGCACGCTCCCTGAGCCGCGCATGCGCAGTGAGAATGGGAGGACGTCATATGACGTCCTCCCAGAACGAGAGAACCAACTTGCGCCCGTCATATTACTATATGGCGGGCGGGAGGTGGTTAAAAAATTATGTATTTTCTTATACTCATTGTGAGTGCGGTTTTAACAGGGGGGTTTTCTTTTGAATAAATCTTTTGAATGATATTGCACTATGGCGAGTATTCTTTTATCCACATGTACTTTTTGGAAATGTGAGGATTGCTTTAAGCTGGAGTTCAGTGGTGAATGCTGGATATCTAAAGATACGCTGGTTTATCACCAGTTTATGGTGAGTGTGCAATTTGATGGGGTGTTTTGTGCACTGAATATCACAGTGGTGAAGGAGGATCTCATTGCTTCATTTATTGAGGATCATCTTCAATTACATATGGACTTTCTTGAATGGATTATATGCAGACTTCTTTATTTGTTTTGTGCACTGATTATTTGATTACACGCACATGGTGGTGGATTTAATATTATTATTATTTAAATGTTTTCATTTATTTATATATATTTATATATATTATTTTTTTGGTTTTAGGGTTGCGCTATTATTTGTGATTATTTGGTTTATCATATATTTTTATTATATACAAGTTAGTGTTAGGAGGGGGGGGGAGCATTTTTAAGATTAGTTGGATATAGCCTGGAATTCCACTTTAAGCACTTGATATAGAATGAATTTATGATATTCAGCTTACAAAGCATGCTGTGGTTTCTAAGGGTTCTTGTAGATGGGAAAATGCAGTGTGCTTTCAAATTCATTCCACTTCCATCCAAAATTTGTTTTAGATGCTTTTGAGCTCCAACTGAGAACCTTAACCATTGCATTTTACCTGCAATTGACCTCCTTCTCATCTGCATCTGGCTTTCTTTTAAGCTGCGTCAACCTGCTTTAAATGATAAATATCCAAGATTTTGCTTCCTATAAACCAAATATAAATGGGGAGCTGCCCACTGGCAAACGTGAAAAGCCTGAAAACATACAATCAAAAAATAAGCACACTATATTTTTTTTGATTGTGTGTCAACCTGCTTTAAGCTGCTTTGGTATTTCCATTGACTTGTGTAGGGTGAAAAACAGTTCTGACATGAACAAACGCCAGTGTACACAAGCCTGTTTCTAGCAGTTTGTGATCTCCACTAACTACTTCAATGCGTTACAGCATAGTATTCATTATTAACTGCTTCTAGCAGTTCAGACATTCAATATGAAGCAAATCTCTTCTTTGTCCTCACTCCTTTTCTGCAGCCACAGTGCAGAAATAGACAAGCTAAATCTAATTATTTTAAAAAGTATATGGGTAGATGGGATTTGAACAGCACCTAAGGCAGAGCAGAAAAATGTGTAAAGAATCTATTCACCCTAATTAGTACATACAACAAAATAATTTAAAATGATTGGCTGATTTAATAGATAAGAACTTAGTTTTACTAAAACCAGGACCCTGCGTTCACTATATCTGGTCTCCCACAGTTCACACAACACGGAAATGCAATTATTTTACTAAATATAAACTTCTAAATACCTTTTCTCATCAGCAGTTAGAGCACCTACTGGAGCCATATTCTGGGCTGTTTTTAATCACTACATGGCTGATATAGTACCTTGACTGCCCCCAAAGAGATGTTATTCGAAACGCATTGACAACTTTTGCTACTGTCTCTGCGATCATCACATTCAGTGCTATTTGCTGGGCCATCTAAAGCAATTCAAATGGTTTTTGCATGGTCATTTTGCACACTATGGGGGAGATTTAATAATAAAACTATGGGGGGAGATTTACTAAAACTGGAGCATTCAGAATCTGGTAAAAACAAAAATAACCCACGCTGCAATGTCACTATGTAGGCCTTATGTCTTATATGTCAAAACATAAACTACTTAAGGAAAATGAATATCTAAATAACAAATAACTGATTAAGTATTGTGAATAAATAAGTAAAACCCCCAAAGAATAAATATTTGACACAAAAATTCAGTGTATAATTAATAATAAATATGAATAAAAAGTCCCAATAATCATGAAATTTCATAAAGAGAGTGAATAATAACAATAAAGTGCATAAGACAGGTGCTCCACTTGTGTATCTAGCAGCAATCTTGTGCCTCCACTCTTCACCACTCTGCACTCCACTAAATGGAATATCAAAGCCTCTTACCAAAACATTAGACCCCTATACAGAAGGTCTACATGTGCTTAAAACAGAGTCTCACCCAAAAGTGGAAGCTACGCTTTTCTACTCCTCCCCCTTCTGCTGTCACATTTTGCTTCTTTTTGGGGGGGGGGGGGGAGCAAGTACCTGGTTTTGACAGGTACCCGCTCCCACTAACGGCTGAGTTGGCCGTGACGAAAGTTCGGTGCCCTCGCAGCCCTCTGGGACCCTTCCAAGATCCCAGAGGACTGCAGCCAATTTCACAGATTGCAGCATGCTTCACGCATGCACAGTAGCAGCCAGGCTTCACCGCCAGTTTCCCTTAGTCAAGATGGTGGCGCCAGTGCCCGACAGCTGATTGAAGAATTGGCTCAGGGTGAGGACACCACTGGATGTATGGACAGGTAAGTGCCCTACTATTAAAAGTCAGCAGCCACAGTATTTGTACCTGTTGACATTTAATTTTTGTATGGGAGGTGGCGGGGGCCGGAACTCCACTTTAAGGGAAAGAAACCCTCATTGGATGGATGGGTCACCACTCAGATTCAACCACTGGACTGTCAGCACATCGAATGCCTACAGGTATCACCCTATAGCGATGACATCACCGCTAAAATTCCGCCCACTCAGAATCTGGTGTAGCTGTGCATGGTAGCCAATCAGCTTCTAACGTCCGCTTGTTCAGTTGAGCTTTGACAATAAAACCTGGAAGCTGATTGGTTTCTAGGCAGAGCTGCAGCAGATTTTGCACTCTCCAGTTTTAATAAATAAACTATTTATAAAGCTTTTATGAGTCTGTAGAAATTCATGATACCTTTTAGCAGGGGCGGACTGACCATTTGGAAACTCGGGCACTGCCCGAGGGCCCGGGGTCAGTAGGGGGCCCCATGAGATGCCCCTGGTACCTTTTTCATAGGCTTTTTTGAGTTTGGGCAAGGACACAGGGGCCCCATGATCCCCTATTGCCCAGGGCCCCATGAGTTGTCAGTCCGCCCCTGCCCTTTAGCTATTCTAGGCATGGGGGCTATATCTGCTCTGTAAATGATTTTGCAGTGTATGTAATCTGATCTTTCTGCTATTTAGATCTATTTCAAAACAGTAGCTGTTATCTGAACAAATAGAAAATATGATCTATCTATCTATCTATCTATCTATCTATCTATCTATAAATCAGCATAAGAACACCGGCCAGTCACTCTATTGTTTTCTATAAAATAATTCAAATTAATCTCTTTCTACAAGCTCACTGACATTTACTTTCTATCTCCCATTAACTTGTTTTACTTGATGGCTTGATCCACAATACCCCTCAATAGTATACCTATTGTTTTTCACCACACAGAAAGGGAAAAAGATTGTGGGACTTGTTTTGCTCAAGCACTTTAATGACATTTTAATGAATTAAATAGAAATTAATATGCATGAGTGACCTTTCATTGCATGAGTACATAATAATAGGCTATGCCCCTGAGCTGGGATAACCTCTAATACTGGATCAAGTAAAATACCACACATTCTAATTACCACGGCTGATGTTGTCACTTCACATAAGTCATATTATGAATAGGGATTATCTATTAGCAATCAGGTTCTTATATAGCAGAGGGTCTTCAAACCTTCCAAACAAAGGGCCGATTTTAGGAGGGCCGGCCTGTGGCCAGTGGGAGTAGAACATTTTCCAGCGTCAGTGGAAGCAGATAATGTTTCAGGCTTGGTGGTCAGTAGGAGTAAATAAATTACATAGTACTTGTGGTCAGTAGGTGGTTGACTAGTGCCCCATCATTGGTATTAGTGGAACGAATAGTGCCCTATTGTTGGTGCCCCATCATTGATGTCAGTGGGAGAGTGCCCCATTATTGGTGTCACTGGGAGGATTAGTGCCTCATTGTTGGAGTCAGTGGGAGGAATTATACCTCATTGTTGGTGTTGGTGGGTGGGAATAGTGCCTATTATCAGTGGGAGCAATAGTGGAGGACCGAATAAAGGCAAGCAAAGGGCCACATCTGGCCCATGGGTTGCACTTCAAAGACCTCTGATATATAAGAACAATCAGAACCAGTATTGCCAACATTTTTAAACACGAATCCAGGAAAATATATCAAAGCATGTTTTGGGGTTCACATGCTGCTTTTCTTCCACAACAAGTCAATGCAAAAGCACAAGCAGCCTAAAGCAACTCAAATCAACCCACAGAGCAATGCAAAGGCAACCTGAAGTCAAAGAAACTCAGAAGTGCCTAAATACATGTTACTTCTGGGTCTGATGTCTGTACATGAGCTGCAACATGTTCCATTTTTATTCTAGGATTTAAATACACGTTATGGTTGGTTTGAAATCAGTTTGTGCTTTACTTTTATTGCTTCATTCAAATCAATGTGATTTCACGACAAAAATAATTTAAAATCAAGTATACGCATAGCAAAAATAGGAATAAGCACATATTATATATACATTGCACATAGCTGTACATGTTAATATAATACTTTTATTTTTACTAAGATTGTTCATGGGGGATTGGTTGTTTGATAACG